TGTGGTTGGGGAAGGTTGTCAAGGGTTAAAGTTCGATTACATTTTTCTGAAACACCCTGTACATGTAATGTACCAGTACCTCAAGGCCGAAGTGGTTCACGATGTCAAAGATTGAAAGCTTTCTTGTCAACATTGACAAGGTTCATTTTTCTGTCATTACAACGAATGCGCATGGAGAAATTGTAAAGAAAAAGTACATGTACCCTTAGGTACATGTATCGGTACATACATGTATGTACACTGTACAGTGTACCCGTATCAGACTGCATCTTTTGATCTGTGCTTCTCAAAACTAAGAGTTTGCATGCTTCAATTTTAACCCTGCAGTGCATGAAGTGTTGGAAGTCACAAAGCGTTGGATTACTGCATCCCAAAATAGCGTGACCCTGCACGTTAAAAAAAACCCTCAATCTTGACAATTTTGATTTGATTACTGATGGTGTCTGTACATGTATGCATTTCGCAGGGGACTTAGTCCGCAATTTGCCCCACGCCATTTTGTCTGTGTCCTGCCCCCCTGGGTTGCTTGTGCCGACATCAATGAGCCTCGCAAGGCTCTGCTCCACCTGTATCGCCATCCAATAATCACAGGGACATCGCCCAGCGCCAAGAAGGTCGGAGTTTGTTTGCCTGCTACAGAGTAGAAGGACCGCCAACGTGGAGTGGGTCCGGGAAGTGAGGGTGGTTGTGGTGTCTTTTTTAGTAGAACTGGGCTGAGGTTGTCTTGGCCCAAACCTGGGCGGATATTTACATGTGACATCTACACGTGTTCGTCGTCTTTGCTCTCGCTATCACCTTCCCCGTATCCTTCAGATTGCACCAGGTTTTGGGAGGTTTTTTCGGGGGGAAGGGGTGAAGAAAGGTACCGTAGAGCCCAGTCACTCCTGTTGGTCTGTTTCTCAACATTGGGCTTGATGCCCCTTGAACCCTTGCAAAGAAGGTGTCATTGGCTTGCTACACAATTTGGTAGGATTCAGGATGGTTTATAGAGAAATTGATACAAGAGTCAACGTAATAAGGCTGCAAACTTGCACGAAGGTGAACTGAACAAGGCAGATTGCTGCAGGCAATTTTAGCTTACATGCCTACCATCTGAAGCGCATGCACTGGTATATGTGTATGTGTACAGTGGTAATGGTTGACGTTGGCAAAACTTGACCGAAAATGGTGGCTGCCAGGTTCCATTTTCCCACAAAGCAAAATCATGGAGGAATATTCTTCTGTGGTTAAGTGCAGCAGTAGTGTGAACCTTCCTGAATCCTCCAAAATTCTCACTTCTGGGCAGCAATTGGCAAAGTGCATCAATGTACTGGTAAATGTACATTTGAAGTTCCTGTATCTCTGTAAAAGTAAACAGGCTCGACTTCACTCTATTTTGCGAAACCCAGTAGCATCCCCTGGGCAGGTTTTGAAGGATCTAGAAAGGTCCAAATCAGAGATTTGTGGGCTTGGACTCGAGCCTTCTGTGCCAGCTTGTCTTTGGGCGGCAGTTGGTCTGAAAAACACACCTCCACCCTCACTGCCTCTGGACCTGTTCCGCACCTGTGACTTGCTCTGTGAAAATGACTCTGAGCAAAGGTTGATACATGAGGGAAAGATACTTCCACTTTGGTTTTTTTTAACACATTTCAAATTTTTGCAAGCAGACTTAAGTGAGAATAACAACACCTACCTCCAAAGAATTGAAATGACCTCTGACTCGTTTTCACAGAGTAGGTCACCACATTGAACTAACCAGGGTTTTACTAACGTGCACCTCCTTTGGTCTTGTTCCCTTCTCTCTCTTCCCTCCCTCTTCCTTTGCCGTGTGCGATTCCGTCCACCCCACCTCAGAGCCGGACTGAGTAACTACCTCTATCTCTGCTCTCTCCCGTCCAATGAAAAGGGCCGGAAAAATGAGCCGGCGCAGGTGATGCTGCGGGTCTACGGTGAGATCTTCTACGAGAGCGACGCTCCGCTGCTGGACACCATCATCTTCTCCCTGCTGTCGGAGCGGCAGCAGGGGCCCAAGCTCTACGGGGTCTTCCCTGAGGGGAGATTGGAGCAGTACATTCCCGTGAGTTACAACTTTCCATTCTTTCTTCCCATTTTGCTGAGGGTTTCCCTGCACGGAAAAACCGGGGAAGAACAAGGGAATCGATACAAATTTCTGGGTGTAAGAAAGTGAAGGAAGTGTGTGAAAATAACATAAGCCATGGAAATACATGTACGTGTATTAACCCTCCTATGCTGAAGTCAACTCTTTGGGTCACTTGATAAACACCTCAAAGAAGCACAGCTGTGTGGTGTTGTGCACTGCACCAACATGCAAGAGAGTGACCTTGGGCACTTGTGCATATTTGTGCTGTAAAACTAAAGGAGGGTTAAGTTATGAAATTTGTGAAGATCTACACTGTACATGTACATGTATACTGTACACATGTACCGGTTCATGTATGTTCATGTACTTGTATTTTGCCTACCGCACATTCCATGAGAAATGTTAGTTTTGTTCCTGTCCTGTTCGTGTTGCCAATTTCAGCGAGCAAATTTTACTCTTAAAACACCCACTGGGCTGACAGACTGAGGTTAGTACTTATAACATCTGTCTTGCAGCATGAACACAAGTTCAAGCCCAGTGGTGAAGTGTTTTTCTGGCGTACAATGGACATTTCCTGCATTGACCCTAACACTCGTCAGTCCTCCAACAGGTGAAGGATCGAGGAGGGTTAGGGTTAAATCTACAAACTGCTCTGAATTTGTCATTTCAAAAAGAAACTCTGCAAGCTTAGTAAAATTCCTTGGAGAAAAGTATGGGTATTACATGTACATGTACACGACTTTAACGATAGTACACGATCAACGAGTCAGTTCATAATTACCCTGCTTTTGTCTCTGGGTCAGTCTTGTACATGTTGTATGTTCCAGAAGTCCAGTTGTTGTGTAGTCCAGTTGTCTAGTTGTGTAGAGAAGCGCAGATTTTTTTGCAAAATTTAGACAAACCTTACCACTTGTTCATCACCGAAATGTCATTTTTTAATTTCAACTTCCATGAACAGTTCCCATTGATGTTTGCTGTCACATTGGTGAAAACACGTGTGCGAAGCTCAGTGCATTAAACGAAGCTGCTCTGGTTCCCGCCGCGCCGCGCACAAGCAACGGAACGCGTGATGGAAATGTAGCAGCCAGAGCCAGTCTATACATGTACTGTCCATTCCCGTCGATTACTCTACATCAGCCGTACACGCATATCGCATGCAACCCTAAAGCTGCAGGTCGAAAAAAACATTGATGTTGCAAGAGGTTTTCTTCAAGTTAATTCACAGAACTTGGTCTCTTATTTATGTACGTATTTTCTGTGAACATGTATCTTTCCGGCTTCTAGTCCCGATGCCTGACCACAGCAGAGCTGTCCGACCCGAAGTTGTCGGTGGAGATTGCGGAGAAGCTCGCCAAATTCCACCTCCTGGACCTGCCGCTGTGCAAGGTGCCCAGATGGCTGAATCAAGTCATGGACAAGTAAGTCAACGGATGGTTCGTCTTATTATGAAGGCCTAGTGTAAGACCGAGAACCCTGAGCGGAGTTGCTAGTCACTGGAAGTTGTACATGAATTCTTTATAATGGGCGCTGCGGCTTATGAGGATGACATGTACATGTACTAGCAGTATGGAATCACTCTGTAGAGGTGGACTGTGTGTTGACTTGAAGGTGGCCCGTTGAGCTCCGCCTATCGTGGTCTCTAATATCGTTATGTGGGAGTGCCCCCAGATTGTTACAAAATGTACCTGTGAGGTTGTGGTACTTGTATGAAACATCGTATAAATTCCAGTCATGTAACCCGTAGTTGTGACATTGGGTGGATGTGTTTTGGGCTAATTAACCCTAACAGTCCCAAATCCTCCGATTTCAATATGATTCCATATACACCCTAGGGGTTATATACAGTTGGTTAGTTATTTAAAAATATGGCAAGTATTGTCCACCTTTATATAGTCGTAGTACATATGCATATGCCATCCCTGAACCCTTGTCGTTCAGTGTTTGTGTGGGCTGGTATCAGGGTATTTTGTAGCCTGCTTTTCTGCTGCCCTTGGGAAGCCTCCCCACATATGTTCACTTCCATGCCATTGTGCGCCACTTAAATGTAGTTTTGATTACGCGCATGCGCACTTCATACATGTATGTTTGAATATGTTTCAGCTTAAGACAATGCTAGTCGCTGTGCATTAGCCCATTTTAAGAGGGCTTTCAGAGTTGTGGCTACGTCTATTGTCAGTGCGTCCCCAATGGGATGAGACCTAGACCTAGCCCAAGAGAGATGATTTGGATGCAGCATCAATTAATATGATTGATAAAAAAGCCTGAAAATTTATATTACATGTATATGAGTTTTCCCACAGTTATGCTCAGTAAAACAGTACTCAGAATGGGTTTCTAAAGAAGCTCATTGCAGATTTTTTTAAAATGAATAAATTGAGTATTTTGAGTCCAAGTTCCATGAAAATGTACGTAATTCGTATTGGAACATGTGTCATGTCAGTACAAAATTAATAATTCTGAATCGTAGAAAAAAATTCTGCTCTCAGATAATCACCTTGAGGTGTTCAAGGAGACTGCTGGCTTTACTTTCATAGGTCTCATTTATTCCAAAAATGGGGGTGACAGGGAGTCCAGCGAACTACGTGAATAAAATAAAAACAATTATGTGGGCAGCGCAAACATGTGTCCCCGGTCAATCTGAATAAAATAGCTCTGCTAGCCTTCACAGTGATAGCACAAAGCCCAATTGTTTGGGATCAAGGATGGGACCTTGGCCGGCTGGTAACAGGTAACTGTCTTTTGTCATGTTTGGGTAAGGCCCTGAAATACTCTTGAGAGGGCGACTACGCATTATGAAGCAAACTATGGGACAGAGAGCACTCCCCTGCCTTGGCGTTGGTCATTTTTATTCTGGTACATGTGTCTCAGGAATTCTTTTCAGCCGTCTGGGGGGGATGCGTTAAGTAACAATCGGCAGGAGTGTGTATAGGGATTGGACTTGTTGGGGGGGTACCCCTCTGTCCCATTTCGTGCCTGGTATATGACTACAGAGAAAGAGGTTTCCCTTTAGAATTAGTCTCCCATGTTGATCACAGTCTTCAGTCTGTCTGGCCAAGCGAAAATGTAGTTGTGTTTCCTTTGAAGGAAATTGTGGTGCTGAAGCAGTTAAACAGTTTTTATTCCACTGTCAAATTGTTTGCCAAAGATTTTAAGGTGCATTGATAGTCAAATTTTTGGTCCGTTTATTTGTAAAAATTAACAGTTGATTGCCAGATTTAGATGTGCATGCACTGCAGTCGGCCTGACAAGTGCAATATAATCAGTAGGATGTTGAGTGGTTGAAGACATCAGACATGTACAGATGTAACTCTTTGATGGTGTTTTACCATTTCTGAGCATGCAGGTGCGATATGTGCTTGTAGATTTTGTTTGTGGCCGTTAGTCAACTTAGAAACGCGTACACCTGTCTAGACAATTCAGAGGAGACGCTGTTCCTGCGGGGGCCATCACACTCACAGGCATACATGTATGTTAACTTGAGCACCCGCGCCAACACTTTGGCAAATCATGACACCCTAATGGTCGAAGCGGAATGTAACACGCGTACCACTTATGTGCAAACAGGATGGCCTCATAGTAGTGGCTTCTAATTCTTTTCGCCGGAACCGTCTGTGCTATTGTGCATCGATCAGTGTTTGCAGAAAGGGCTTGGGATTTGAGACGGAGTCAAAACCAAACTGACTGACTCCTGACCTTTCACCTCTGACCCCAGGTGGACCAAACTGGCCCTCACTCTGGAGCTGGAGAGTCCCGAGGACCAACGGCTTCTGGAGGAGATCAGGTCGCATGACCTCACCCGGGAGGTCGCCTTTGTCAAGTGAGTTACAGTACTTTTCGTGATTTGGCCCCTTGCATTGACGCCAAAATTTTCTTTACTCTGCCTCAGCATTTCCAACGCAGTTTTTGCAGAGTTGTGTTTGTGGGAAACATTTTCACCTTTCCGACAATTGTTTTTTTTTTTTTACCCAGCCCTATTTTGCTCTGTTCAGTTCCGTGGGTGATACTGGTAGTTAGATACATGCATAATATCCAGAAGCTCTCTCCTCCATGACAGTGGATTGATCTTATTTAACAACCTGGTGCGTGACCAGTGTCCACCGGACGTGCGGTACATGTATGCATTTATCAAGAAAATAAGCTTCCCACGATGCTTTGTGCTTCCTCTGTGCTACCTACAGCAGCAAGAAAGGCTGTGTCCAATCTCATGGCTTTGTCTCTTTGACAAATCTTTGTTCCAGTGTTGTACATGTAGGTCATAAATATTCCTACGACATTATTTTGCCTCGTTTGGATTTTAAACGTTGAAATATCTTACTTGTACATGTACATTCTTCTAAAAACTAGGGCTAACCTGTCGGTGATCGCACTTACTTTAATTGTGCTTTTCAGCCGTCATTACATAACATTAGCATGCGTACATGTACCGTAGATACTTTGCACGATGTTCTGCAGTGGTAATGCAGACCGCCATTCATTTGATGAGCCTCCAGCATCGGACCTGCAAGTTGGCAGATCTTCACTGGTGACGTTAGTGGTGGGACGCTGTGCCTCTGTCGTACTCTTTTAATATTCACCCAAAATTTCTGTGAGCTTTAAATTTGTTTTCCTATCAACTTTACGTAGCCTGCGTTTTACTGATTTTCTCAGATATTTTTTTTTTTTTTAATTTTGGGTCTGTTTCATGGATCTTCTGAAATGCACCCCTCCCAAGTCCTCCACATTTGTCCAGCAGGATTTTTAAGAGGTCTCTGAGGATCGAGGCATGTTCATCCGGGTTGTGGCGCTTGATGCTCACTGAAAGCAGGTGTAAAATGGAAGCTGCCACTGTACATGTATCTCCATTTCAAGATTCGATGAGTTTGGAGGATTTGGGAAGGTTTCTAGTGTTCGGGCCTCTGGGATTGTGGGTGCAAAATTTGGCCAAAACAGTTTTGCCAACTGCGAGGCCCGGACTTGCCTCTGTTATGTGATTATTAGGGCAAATGCTATCACTGAAGATTATGTTGCTTGGCTGTGGGAAGGAATGATGGTTCCCTCGGCAGAAATGGGTCATTCTGTAAATTTTGGGGGTCCAAAAAGTGTGACACTTTTGTGATCGTGGTACACCTGACCTGTGCGATTTGATTGAAATTAACTTCAAATGAATTTTTGAGTTTTTGTTTGGCAGGTAATTTTCATGACTCAATCGCTCTCGGAAATCAATGCGTTCTAAGCTCACAAAAAATCATGTGTCATGTGACAGGGACTCCCAAAAAATTGGACTCCAAATTTATAAAATGACCCAAGTCCGTGTGTTTAACAGCTCCACGAAACCAGTCACCCAATGTTTGTATTTCTGTTAATAGCAGGCAGGTGTAACTTCTTTTTATTCCTCCCTTTTGTGTTTGGTTTTTTTTTCTTGTCAACTGAGACTAACCTGTATTTTCTCTTCTTTTTTTTCTCCCCCCCTCTGCTGTTGTCCGCATCTGTTTGTCGTCTTCGCAGGGAACTGATTGCGAACACCAAGAGTCCCGTAGTTTTCTGTCATAACGATTGTCAGGAAGGTATGAGCAATCCTCGCCGCTTCTCACCAGGGGGGAGAAACATGACTAATCAATCGTAGCTGACCAGCTGAACTGACTGATGTCCAACTTCCTGCCCAGGCAAGGGGGATAGTCCGTTCAAGGGCGGAGCCGTGATCTGTCGGGGGATTATTATCCAGAGCTCACAATAAATCTTTTGGGTTTTTACCTCCCCTCCTTTGCTTTTTGTCTCTGACAGAATGTGTAGCCTAGCAACTGGTTTCCGTGGCAACTTATTGTCTTTTTATGTCCGGGATGAAGAACCTGGCCTTTGCACTGTGAATGCTGCAGACAGGGCCCCAAGGGACACGCTGTGCTGAGACACAGCCCGTGCATAGGTTTGACGGGTCAGTCATCCTCCGGTGGAGGTCACGCACGCGGTCTTGATTAGCCCCTACCAGATGAATCACTGGAAATGCTGTCGCAGTGTTTGTGACTCGCTCAGTTGAAACATGTTCAATTTTCATCCCCTGACTCAAAATCAAGATGCCTGTTACACGGTTACGCTTCTCAGGGAGGTGTTTGAAATTCCATTTCTATGGGTACACACGTACACGTAACCATGATTTCATTGTCGGAATTCAGGTGCAAGTTAAATTGATATACACATTCTAATTCTGTTCTGAATTATGCAGACACTATGTATGATGTGCTTTCATTGCGATGTCCACTGGTCCGAGACATATTTTTCATCGGCATTAGGATGGAAAGAGCTTGTCCCATTTTGATTCTGTGCCTGGAAAAGAATTCCAAGACCGATGAATGCACATGTACGCGTGTACATTTTAAAAGGCATTCTGATTTTGTCTTTGTTCCACATTATTGCCACCGCGATGGTTGAAGCCTTCCCTCCCAAAAAATCAGAGGGTAAACTCAATCTATTATATTTGGATACAGGTGTATCTGCACCTGTACATGTATATATATACAGAATCCCAAAATCAATATCCTACATGTAGGAACCCATGGAGTGTCCTAGTTTTGTTTTCCCGGGGAGGATGGGGTGTGGGCTTATTGATTTTGCCTCCTTAAACCTGATTTTGGGAGAGTTGTATTTTGCATGCATTTATGAATCAACAATCTAGGTGACCCAAAAAAAAAAGCGGTAAATAATACCATTGTACACATGCGATAGGAAGCCAGACAAAATAATTCAATAATGCGACGCCAACCTCAGTGTTTGCTTTATTTCACTAACACTGTGCCGACCATTGATTCTGCATTATGTCAGAAACACTGCGCCTGCTTCATGTGTAGGTTTTGCTTTATTTCAGTAATGCCATGCCTGTAGTAGGTTGTTCCTATCTTGGCCAGCAAAGGCATTTGGACAGACAGGCAGAGTTTTAGTCAAAAATTTACATGCCCTTTGACCGACAGTGGTGCATGACAGTTTCTACAGCCGGCACATGCATTTTATCTACATATCCATGGCCATTGACCAGTGCATAAAGCACTGAGGTAAATTTGACAGTTTTCAGAAATGAAGCGGTTTTAAGGAATCGGGTCTTGGATCTTGTTAAAAAACTCACTGTCCAGGTTAGTGTAAACCTCTCGTAACGGAAATTGTAATCGATGGGAGAAAGCTGCCTAAGTGACTAGTTTGCTTAATTGGGTCGGTTAGATGATGTACTTGCATGGAGAAAAAGATTTTAAACAGGATATGGAGGTATGACCCAGTGTTTTAAAAAAATTTGGATGATTCTGTTCATGTGTGGGTGTCTCTTAGCTGTTTCAAAAGTTTACTGTAAAACTCATTTTAGTTCATATTTCAGCATCTGCACTCCATTAACCTTCCTCCTTTTAACTCTTGCCGATCTGCAAAGTAGATGCACGTGCAGAAGACACAAGGCCAGGTTTTCCTTTTGCCTTCGCCGCATACCGGAAGTGCTGTCAGATTCAGTGGTAACGGTGTTTGCCAATCAGAATTATCAGCGGACATATTTTTTTTCCTTTTGATCAGCAATCACTAATTGATTATTGACTGATTGGTTGAAGACACAGCGGGTACATATCCTTACCGGCCAGAGAAGAGAGCGTTACTTGCTTTCAGTCAGCAGGGAGAGGAGGTGATAGGTCTGTTGCCACGGAAACTGACAGCAGCCGACAGTTGTGCAGACCCGGAGGACCGTCACTGACACCATTCATTGTAGCAGCATCATTGTCTTACCGGTGCATCACGGGATGTTTTCAAAGTCCGCCGGACCAGCCAGCCCATTTCTCGTTTCATCTGTACAATGCACTCATTACCATTTCACTCATACAACACAGACCTAGTTTTAGGTACTAACCGACCCATCTTGTGATTGATTTTTGAATTCTGTTGCCTAGGTAACATCCTTCTTGCTAAGGGGTGCCCAGAGATCAAAGATAACAGCCTCGTGTTGATCGACTACGAGTACGCGAGCTACAACTACAGGTGGGCAAACTGCATTTATCTTGAACAAACTCAGACCCCGCCAATGGTAACGGAAAATTTTATGCCCTGGTTGGTCTTAAGCGGCAAGAGCGATCCAAAACAAAGTGAATAACGGAAAGGAAGTGAGACTTAAACACCTTGTCTCTCTGCGTGTGTGTAACAGAAGACCGAAGTGTTGGGTGACATAAGGGGGTTTGGCTGAAATCTTACTGCGTCCCGGTTAGGTTGTTGCCATTTTGTCAGGTTTGAGTTTGGCACCGGGGCCATGGGGCATACTCGGAATGAAGCGCATTGTACACAGGTAGGTCACTTGGGCGATCAGTATCGATGTGGCTGTCTGCAGATTTGTACGCAAAGATCATGTCTGAGTGGTGTGCTGTTCCTTCATTTTAACCTAAGTGACTGTGTTGTACAAAACGTCCGAATTGGTTCGGTTCACCAAGCCGTTGCCGTCTTGCCCTCTGCCCCCAGGGCGTCAGATTTTGCCAACCATTTCTGTGAGTGGACAATTGACTACACTAAGGAGAGCGCCCCCTACTTCAGTCTGGTGCCGGAGGACTACCCGAGCCAGGAGCAGCAACTCCGGTTCATCCGCGCATACCTGGAAGAGTACCACTCGGTCAGGGAGTCCACGGAGGAGGAAGGGCTAAGACTCGGTGCGGGGGAGGGCGACAGCAGCGGTTGCAACCGTATGAGCACTGAGGCCGAAGAGAAACTCCTGCTCAAAGAAATCACAAGGTACTCCATTATTTGAAATGAATCGTCTTTCCATTTTCATTTTTCGGCTTAAAAATAAGGTATTTTGCCAAAAGGTTTTCCTCCTTTGAAGTGATGCCAGCGAGGAAGAATTTAATCACATAAATTTAATCAGTTGTCCACCTGTTTTTGCGTTCATTTCTAGGTTTACACCAGTAATCCACCTTCTCTGGGTGATGTGGTCGTGCGTCCAGGCCAAAGTATCCCACACAGCCTTTGGTTACATGGTAAGGAAGAAGTTTGGGCCCTTTTGACAACTGTGGGGGGCCAAAACAATTGTTTTCAAAATCCCTTAATCTATTTGAACAGGTACAAAGTCACCCAAAGCTTTCACAATCTCTTGTAAGTTATCACAGTCATGATAGTATCTTACAGTTCACTTAGCCAACTCAAGAAAAAACGGGAAAATGTAAGGAGTTGATTCTGTCTTAAAATAAACAGTAAAACCTTGATAAGTCAAACTTGGCCAAGTCCAAAGTCCGCTTGTCTCAAAGTGATGCTTTGCTGCCGCCAAAGGAGTAGGCATTTGTGTACATAAAATACTGTTCTGTGAGTGGAATTGCCAGTGGCCAAAATCTTGCTTAAGTCCAAGTTTTTGTGACGCTGATCAAAAGACGGCTGTCATTGCTTCAAAAAGTACAAACATGGGACCAAGAAACCCTGTTCCGAGTCATTGCTGCTAAGCGCTTGATACCAAGGATGTAGCCACACTGGCCACCGCTAGCTGGCACTGGGGATGAAAGTGGAGCTTGCTGGCCAGCGCAAATTACACATAATTGCTATTTTTTTAGCGTTGAGAAAGAAAATGGGCAATTATATTTTTTAAACCTTGTCAAAAACAGTCGGCACTGAAAAATTCCTAGCTACAACCCTGCTTTTCACTCTTGATCTGCTTGCGTGGCAGGCATTCTGCTTGATTTTCATAGTGGATTTCCACACCCATACCTACCGGTACGGGACCGATTCGATTTCGCTCTTTATTTTGTATCTTTCTCAGGAATATGGTCTGGCACGACTCAAGGAATACTTCCGGACCAAGGCGGCCTTGCCCGATGACCTCTGACACCATTCCTTTTGACATATTTCAGTGCATTCTCCATTTACATGTATATTCCAAATTCAAGTATTTACACAGTTTGATCAAAGCAGCCATAATTGTTTTAACAGGGTTAATCAATGTTTTTCTTGTTTTGGTTGTTTGGTGTACACAGCTGTAGAAAACCACAGCAATGCCCAACTTCTGATACGTGCTATTAACAGTTTGCATGGCTGCCATCTTGCAGGACAGTTCGTTTGTTTCACAGGGTATGCACAAAGGAGGCATCCCTGTGGCAGAAAGGAGCTGCCCCGCAAGATGTCTGCCGTGCAAAGCCTCTCTTGGTTTTGGTGCGCTCTCATGCTTGGAGTTTCTAAACCCGATCATGCATTATGCCACAGGATGCCAGACATTTATGTGCCTTGATTTAAAGTTTCCGAAGAAAATGTTTTTGCCCTGATGGTAGTGGTTATTTCTTTCCATGCAACTCATGTGCCTGCTTAATGCCAATCACAATAAAAATCCAGCAGTGGTTTGATATATTTGCACTTGAAGTCAACCACTCATGCGGTGCTTAAATATGTAAAATGATATATTTTTTTTGTATTAATGTCTTTTACCATGTACTGTCTGGTTGAATATTATACGTTAGATTCACCTGTTTGCATTAATTTATTCAGTTTAATATTTAGCCCTAACTCATACGTGAGGTGTGTGTACTCGGGTTTGTCTAGGTTACTTTATTTTTGCATTTTAGCATTTTGTCCGCTGGGATTTCATATTGAGTTGATTATTTTGTAGCCTGGGTTAGTTAGTGAAGTCTGACACATGCCAGCTCTTACATAGTTCCCCTCACCAAGATTTGAAAGTGTTTCAGATTTAGACACGACAGTGTAATCCTCACCGGGGTGACTTGAATATACGTTTATATATTTGGCCTTTATCAGTCACAATTTGGCAGCTGCCTTGAAGAAATGTCAAGTTTAAAATGAATCTTAAAACTAATGCTGACAAGCCAGATGTAGGCATCCTTGACAATACGAATCCTTGCAGTTTGCAATCGAGGTCGTGTGATGACTGGTGTTCCAGTCGAGACTTCTCGAGACCATTGCAAGACCCCTAGTAGGCTATCGCAAGACCAACAAAACATCTCAAGTCCTACTTTTAGTCACAGGCTATTCGAATGAACTCCATTGAAAGCATTCCTTTGTTGTCATCCTTCGCTTCGTTACTTGCGACTGGTCTTGAGATGATCTCGACTGCTGACGATCTCATGATCAAGGAGCCGCACGCATGGTTACATGTATTGTCCCTTTGCACCGTGACAATCCCATAAATCTCAGCCCACCGCGGTTGGCATGACAGACCAGTGCAGCCATTTTCAGGCACTTACTGGCTTGTCCACACCTCCTCAGCCTCACATACATCCATCATGTACTCCCAGGAGGAGTAAAGTCACTCGCCCACAGTCACAGCTGTGCGCCCGTGACTAGATTTGAACCCTGGACCCAATGATCAGAAGTTCCACACCCCATCCACTAGGCCTCACGCCCACGTTTACATGGGACACTCCTCCAGTATTGCACAAGGAGCTTTATTGAATATTTCAAATCATTTCTGCAGTGGATGATCGGGGCCTGTGGCCTAGTGGTTACTGTAACGTTTTATTTGTTCAATTTTGTTTAGTGGAAACTCGTGGGCTCTGCATGATTTCTCTAGATTGGGAGGGGTTGACTGGAGACTTAGCTTTCTTTCCTTTGGTCTTACTCAGATTGAGAAGTTTTTACGTGCTTACCTGGCTCAGCCTGGGAAACGTACTCTACGTTGAGTGCTTTTACGATTTTGTATTCTCACATCTTGTTGCTAAGCATGATGCTAAGCATAAAAAGTAAAATGTTGATGTAAAGGAATTAATAAGAGAGTTTATGATAAGAGTATTTGAAACATGTAATGCTTGCATAATCAGTTATTTCTGCATGTATTGATCATTAAGTATTAATGTAAAACCATTGTCTTTGCCAAGTCACATGTATACCTACAATTATATACTTTCAGTTTGCTGCAAAATCTATTAACAGAACAGAATTATTGTGCAAGTATATGTGTATTGTGCTCATACAGTGAAACCTCATTAA